CCTTTTACCATCACCTGAGCATTGAATTTAAAATTCAAATAAACAATAAATACCCGTATGATTATACATAATGCATGTTTACATTACTTTAAAATGCATATACAATTGATGTGAATGTTGTACTACATATCTAACCAGCTTCACATCCCAGGTCAACAGTTATAAATCGAAAGTCGAGCTAACTGCTGTGCTGAATGTCTAGCTAGCTTCCCATTCCATCTCGACATTGATAATTGAATGTCGAACTGAATGTTTAATGTCTATCTTTGAACCAACTTGATGGACTTCAGTCTTTTAAAATATATAACAAATTTAACTGAACTCAACAGCGAAAAAATGAACATAATATCACTTTAACAGAAAGGTAAAAACAGCGTTTTTGAAAATTGTTAACAATGGTCCCTGATGCATATTTTGTTATTTAATAACACAGCATGAATATTTCTTTGCAAACCGTTTTTCCTGCCACGTGCAACATTATGCACAGTTTCTTGCTATCTGTGTATCATCAGATGTTTCACAGCGTTCCTTCTCACTACTACAAATATCTGTTACATCATAATTTGACTGACAATTCGCTACTTCAGAGATGAAATATCGTGTTTTCGCAGATACAAGTTCAGTTTCGCTAGTGCGTTCGTCTTCGTGTGAATTATCCGGGTCAGTATCGTCAGTGTTTTTTATCGAATTGTGACAGCTGGCATGGGTGTTCGAAGGAATTATTCCACAATGATCCAAATATAGAGATTCTGGATTTTATGAATGAAGGAAAGTTTAATGTGCAAACTGGAAAAAATGAATTTAAAAAAGTCGGCATCAGATAAGAATCGACTCGATTCGTTAGCGTGTCAGACATTTGCTGTATACATTGAACAATCAAACCATCAGCTGCAATATTATTTATTTCTCAATATTTAAATCTAAATTACATTTTTATTCCAGTATGTCGTAGCATTTGGACATATTACTTTCCCGAAAAAATAAAGAATTGAAGAAATAATTGAATATGCAATTCATTTGATTATTCTTTAATCAATCTACAGTTAAATCTGCTAAAAAAAGACAGCAGACACACAAAATATCTTTATAAAACATACCCATTCAATAATTCTCGCTCATTCTGGAATGTTATTAAGCCATGAAACTATAGCACATTCATTCAAATGTTGATAATTACCATTATGTTTTTTTTTAAATGTCAAATAAACATCTTTTGAATACAAACAGAGAAATATGTTACGTTTAAAACTGTACACACTACAGGTTATCACAGTATGATTAACAAAATATAATTTTAAAACTGGTGGTTTTTAGATGAATTGTACAAAATAATTTGAGCGATAATAGAGAATGGAGGTTCCAAAACATAGTTTTTACACTATTTGATGTGTGTGTGTTGGTGCGTTGGTGCGTGCGTGTGTGAGTGCGTGCGCGCGCGTGCGTGTGTGTTTCTGAAAATAGAATAAGGAGTTGCTTAATGTTGTGTTATGTTCTTTAATAGTTTACTTAAAATTATTTTTATAACCATGGAGGAAAAATTTAATCGTCAGTTATAAATCTTGAAAACGGTCCCTCTAAAAAAAACAATTTCTAAAAGGCCCCTCAAGCCCGTTTTTACCCCTTAATTTCATTAAAAAAATCTCTCTGAAATTCCCGAACCTTCTTGAATTCAAAAACCGGATTTTCTGGGGGTTCAAATGTTAAAAGCTTTATAAAAAATTCCTTTGAAACCGGGACAGAAATTTTAAAATGGAATTCTGTTGTTTTTTAAATATATTAAAAAACATAATCTCAACTGACTGTTCAATTACAAGTTTTTCATGGGCCCCTTTATTTGAAAAATTGTTATTTCGTTTATTCTTTTCCCAATAAAATTTTCATTTGCTTTTCATTATTAAAGTGCCTTTCCCCTGTATGGTTTATGTTTTTTTCAAGTTTTTTAATTTGGGTTTTTTTTCTTTCTCTAAATTAAATGTCTAAAAAATTTAGAAACGTAAGAAATAAATTGTCTGTTTTGGCAAAATTTTTCTTTGTTTGGATTTTTTAATTTAGCCCCAATAAAAAATTTAAAATTCCTTTTATTCAAATTTCAAAAGATTTAAAAAGGCCTATATTTTAGCCTTGTTTGTTTAATTTTGATTTTAACCATTGAACTTTTAATTTAATTTAAAAAAACATTTTTTGCAAAAAGGAAATTTAAATTTGAAGGGGCGGGACTTTGGGGGGAAAAATTTTGTTAAAATTTGTAAATAAAAATGGTTTTAACAAAAAGTCATTTCTTAAAAGATTATAATTTTTCAGAAATGTATAGGTAATAAAACGCTGAAACCGGAAATTCTTAAAACCACTTTTGAATTTTTAAGAAAGGCCTTTTAAAGTTTAACTGTATAATCATTTTGAAATTGTCTTGTCCGTAGGTTCTTTCCGGTTTTCTTCTTTACGGCACTGATGGCACTTATGACATTTTTACCGTGAATATTTAAATAAACATAGTTCATAACTTAAAATGTCGCTTTTATTTTGATGCTGTGCGACAGTAAACATGTCTAGCAGTAGTATACTATTTAACCTATTCGCTCTTTAACTAAAATCGACCCTGATTTTTCGGATATTTGCTGATCTATATTTTGTTTAAAGTCAATCGATTTTATTGTAGTTTGAGTGGAATGTTGATATGTCGAATATTTCGACATTTTAACAACAGAAACTTTCGTCTGCAATTTTAACATGAGTTGTTATGGGTTTATTAATAGGAATGTCAACACACTGGTGGGTCAGACGAGGTTTTGATATAATGCATTAGAATGGTAGATTGACTTCCAAATAAAACAATGAACAGATTATGTTCGTTTTGTCTACTATTTTGTATGTTTCAAGCAAAATACCACATGGACTTGAAATTCTATCAAATCGCAAATATTAATGATAATATCCAATAATACCCCCTATATAGTATAATTAAACTAATACCATAAAGAAGGGTATATTTCGGTTATTATAGACCTGCATATTTTGGACATTATCGTTAATATTGATAGAATTATAAGTTCCTGTGAAAAAACATTTAACATTCTAATCTTTATCATGCATACCAAAGTTCATGATGAGTCCGCCCATTCATAAATGATATACAATTCTGCTTAAAACCAATTAACCATTGAAAGTTTTGGGAAAATTTGATCTTTAGATGTCTATTAGTTCATCCTCACTTGTTGCATTTCTTGCTTGGACGCCCTTTGATGCTTTGCATCAATGCTTTTCTTGTACCACCGTCGATACCTGCTGCATGTGTATTTCAAATGATCAGATTAGTGCATTACAATAAAAATTTCACCACGACGGAGTTTGTTAACAAACGAGCAGTGCTGTGCAACACCGCACTTTGGGGTCAAACCCACTTTGTGGTCATAAAAATCAAATCAATGAGAAGGAATCTTAGTGATATTTTAAAATAATATCTTGTATAGTTGATGTCAATTTTAAACAAAAAATAAGGATCGGAGTAGGCGAAATGTACTAAATCAGCTAACAACAGCAAACAATAGAATTTGTTAATTTGTTATTATATCTAAAGCTTGAATTTTATTATAATCATGTTGTATATTCAATTGTACCACAGGATAGTGGCCTTAAAGTAAGATTATTATTAAAATATGTATGATGTGTTTTGTGAACATTAGATTACATATTCATGGTCTGGTGTTGAAAGCCCGATAATTAAAGATATTACATTCCACACATATTTTCTTCTAATTTAAATCCAGTTTCTTATTAGATAGGACCCATTAAAAATATTGATTTATCCTTTTTGTGGTTGAATGTAGTATTTAAGGGGATAGCATTTCTGAGTAAACTAATGAAAGTTCTTACTATGATGAATGATGACGAAAAGACTTGCATTAAAAATACTTCAGGCTGTGTCAATCTGCAAACACTCAAAAAAATAAAATAAGATTTAAGATGGCCTTCCAAAAAAAATTTATAAATGCATAAAATTTCCAAAAAAATTAATAAGAATTCGTCATTTTAACAATAGATTTTTTTTCCAAATTTTAAAAGGGTTTATAATATTAGTAATTGAACATTTACCTTCCCAATTTGATTTGTCATTATTATTACAACTCATATATTTTTAATTTTCGGGAAAAAGTTACCCAATCGCAGTCATTTCAAATGGCAAGCGGAATTTTGTCGGTTCATTGGGGCAACTAACTCTGCCCAAAACCCGGAATGTTTTTTACCAAAATGACATGTAAGTTTTCATTGATTAACAAGATAAGCTATCTCGTGCTGTAAATTAACGATTACATTAAAATTTAGATTTAGTACTTTCAGTTTATGTTTTTGTCTAAGGACGGCATCCAAAATGACCACAAATTAAATTTAAGAAGAAGAAGAATTCTTTATTTCAAAATCCACATATTAACAACGACAGCCTGGTAAAGGCTAAGTAGCCTTTGACCTTATTAAACTACAACATCCTAAGCAATACAATACATTACACATTACTGTACAATGCAAATAATAAAATTACTCACGTTCAACGTATTGTTACATACAAATATTATCAGAAATGTATGATATCAGTTACATTTTAATTTATATCAAAAACACTACTGGATATTTTCATACATGTATATCTCTTTGATTATTTGGCGTATTTCGAAAATCCGTAGCCCTGCAAGCTTGGGCTTAAATGAACCCTCCTATGTTTCGCCAGATGCTGTTGCACAAAGTAGGTGATACTCCTTTCTAAAGTGTCACCTGATATATGTAAAGCTTTGAAGGCTAAATTTTCCCTTTTTATCCATATAAAATACTACAAAATTTAATTAAGAAAACATCATGTTTTATTCGATTTAAAGTAAACTGCACAATATACATGTACAATTGTTGTCAATGTCATTAACGAATGCGAGTGATGGACGAGATTTTAGAGATCTATGACCTATCTAGACTAGTTAGCTTGTTAGCGGTATATCAATTAAGGCAATGAAAAACATAACTCGTTGAAGTAGTTTTGAAGAGCTTTGTCGCTTGTATCTCTCATGTTATAATTGCGCTTAATATGTTGAATTACATTTCCTTTTTTATTTTCATGAGGATTGTTTTTATGTTACCATACCCAAGTTTCGAATGTGATCCGATTTTATGGAATATATTTATTTAAACATAGATTGTGGGGTAAGATTATTTTTCTTTTATTCTTCTATAGCAGGCTTTAATCGAAACTTTTACCTGATAACAACATCTAATCATGCCAAGTGTTCTTGATAAACTACTTTGTCAGTGAACTTACTTGTATTGGTCATATTAATTAATTGTGATTTACAGTGTCTCAAAGTACTACAAATATCAACAAAAATGCAGTTAATTCGTTTCCCTCTATGTTTGATACGATCCCGGATTCCGTGTGTTTCGGATCACACGTCGCGATATTGTCTTGTACAGTCACGTCGTACTAGAAAATAACTCGAGTAGTGTAATAAAACAATGTATTTCCTGTTGGCGGAGAAGGTAACTGTATGTTTTCAGAGCAATGAAATTAAATATGAACATTTTGGAGTGTCATTTCGATTAATTTAACTATATAATATTTTTGAGGACGGCTTGTGAAATAAACGTTTTCTGGTATCGTCTGGAGGACTACTGCTCTAAAACAAAACTATTCTGTCTACACATTTCCAAAAGCTTATTTATCTTTATCAATCAAAACACTTTATAAAATTCAAAAAGGCCACATACAGATGAACACCTTGTTTGGCAGTTGTTCATTTACAATAGCTTGAAGAACAAAAGCATTGTCAGTTGTATAGTAACTCTCTCATTTTATCAAATATATCTTTACATAAAAAGTTATTATTTAAAGATACGAGTATAAATGTTTCCTAATACATTTTGAAGTAACTACTCGGTGTATTGTTATCTCCTTTTTATGGACAGCTACACTAACTGATTATCCTCATGAGATTGGAAATATACCAGTATTATATAACTGTTTTTAAGAAAAAATACTCAAAAAAGGTAAAAGAATATAAAAAAAGTGTATGTTAACAATAAAGTGGTTTATCCGTTATTAAGGGATGTCAGAGTCGGGTTTTAACTTTGTATATTCGGTATTTATAAAGCTTGTAATAAAGTAGCCCAATCTTATATATTTGATATTTTGACTTTTTTCAGCAATAAAATGCACAATGTTATATCAGGATCACATTATAATGACATGGTTATACCTTAACACAACACAAACTTTGGTTAAAAAAGATTTGGAAAAGAATACCATCTTATACGGTATGATCTTGTAATTGTCTGATATCTATTAAAAATAAATATAAAAATATGATATCTAAAATCTAAACGAAGCGTTTATTCAAAAATGTTTAAGGACAAAAACGTGATGGAATAGTTGATATTGTTTAATGAAGTTTTTCTGAAAGTGTTTTTATAATATATTGTTTAGAAGGCCTCATTTAAAATTAATATACAGTTGACTCTCAATCAGTCAAAATCGCCTTACTCAAAATTCCGCGATAGTCGAAGAATTTCTAAAGTTCCGCCAAATTTATCTCTTTTTCTTTGAAATTTAACTCCGCTTAGGTCAAATTTTGACTTACTGAGACTCCTGTTTAGTCGAAAGGAATGTTTGGTCCCGTCAATTAAACTACAGCATATTTTCATCTCTCAATTTGTCGAAGTGTGAAAAACAGCCGACTGATCAAAGGTCGGCGACATCAAGGTGTGATGTTGTCATTCTTGTTCACACGTTTCATAGTAATTTTAATTGTCGGTAATCATGTATTATTATCACCTCGTTAAAGTGACTTTAAGAAAGTTGACATGTACCAGTCTGACAGGTGTTAGTCCTTTAATAGCCTAGGTATTTATGTGTGTTATCAAAGGAAATGAAAAATTTGTATAATTAATTTTTAATAATTTATATAAATATTTATATAATAGATATATATAAATATTTACTTCCGGTTCACAACATTTGCTACTTTCGTTTTCGTCCGATGATTAATTCACGACTCCAAGTATTAGACATACTGATGTTTAAATAAATGTGTCAGTGGTGCTTCTATAGAAATTAATTTTTACGAGTGCTTATTGTAAAAATGTGCCTAATATCATTACTGATGAATACTGACCATATTGATTTGCATTTATGTCATTGCTACAAATGTTTCTGTTTATGTTTCAAAATTAATGAATTTTAAATAATATCTTTCTGTTCATTTATTATTTGTATTTGTAAGTGATTAACCGTCATTTCAACGGTTACATGTTGCAGCATTCCCGCTATCAACAATAAAAAACCTACTACTTTGGACATGTACATACATGCACGAATGTATACGTAATGGCGGCAGATCAACGTTACTCGAATTCCGTTTCTCTCGATGTGAAATGCACAGTCCCTTGAAATTCGAGTTACCGAGAGTCAACTGTATGTTATTATTATTATTTTCAGGTACTCAGTGGTAGTCTTGTCTGTAAAATTTTGTACCGAAAATGGCTATATCGAACTTCTGGCGTTTTGCATAAACGTGTCTGTGGCTTTCCATAAAATGAACATCAAAATTGTCATTAATTAATTAATAGAGGACAAAATCATGTCGATATATGATCAGACACTTCAAAGATTATACACGAGTGACATTTTCAAAACGGCATTAGCACGTGTCTCCTATAAAACTGTTTTAGCCGCCTTGTATAAGATATATGTCGACTTAGAATAGAGGCACTAGTTGAACGATTTTAATTTGACAGACTATTAAACATTTAGATTCAACGTTTACGATCAACTATACTTATATTTCAACGATGTTGCATAACCTTACTGCTTAAATATATATGTGATTAGCTATTACATTTAGTTTAATTTTACAGGGAACAACTCTTTGTATATTGTGAAAAAAACAACATCATATTAACACTAAATAGTCAGTATAAATCCTTCTTAAAAGTCAAAAATGATTAATAATAACAATTAATTATTCAAAATAAATTATCCAAGATTTAACACAAATTTGAAAACATTTTTATTTGTACTATTTCTTGTAAAACCCTAAATGTAAATTGATGTATACTGTATGCGTGTAACTGGTATATTTTGTATATATCATTGTTTCCATGTACATAATTGGTCATATTTCAAAACACGAAAATTTCATGCTTCGGAAATTTTGTTATTCAAGAGGCTACCTATAGGGTTTTGCAAGCAATAAAAATTGCTTAAACACAAAAATTGAGCATCTCTCACAGCACAAAAATATATTATTGCTAATTTTTTTTAATTTAACATGATATTTGATAGTAAAAGTAGTAATGTAAGTAAGATATGTCTCAAACTGACCAATTAGTACAATATTGATTTCCCTTCAGCACCTCATAAAATTCAATATTTTACATATTGGACAGTTTTTGGCATATATTTACTTAAAAAAAAACAAAAAAGCTCTTAATATGCAGAAGGGGCTGTTTTGCATGTTTTGACCTGCAATGAGAAATTACTTCACTTCACAATAGTTTACTATTAAATACATTTTCAAAATTGTTATGAACATAAGCAAGGATCTTAAGGCATGTTGCCTTAGCGTTATCATAGCATTATATTTAGTGATGCAATTTAATTAAAAGAATTTATGCCATTACATTTAATGATTTCTTTCTCTCAATATCATATTTTATGGGGACATACAACATGTTGCTGCAATGTTACTTAAATTAGCCCATTTTTGTTAGAATCACTCAAAAAAATTCAGTTTTTATCTGATTATCATCAATTTCCCACTTCTGTCAAAAACTTAAGATGCTATCTACTTATGGCAACTTGTAACCAAAACTGACATTTTCAATATACGAGTTTATCACCAATAATTGATATAAAACAATACACACATATTTTGGTTTATTTTTTTCCCTTAATTCTATATTAAGCAGGACGGGATTTCGACAAATTCAATTCATGCATACACACACGTCCACTGCACAAAACAATTGTCTTATTTACTTCGTCAGATATATTAAACAATGATAACCACGTGATGTTATATCTTCCTTTTTCTATGTACATTAAAGTGTTTATTGTGATTTTTATATAACATTTGTATAACAGCCGCGACATAATACAATGGATAAAGAGAAATACTTGGAAAACATCTTGACACTGAAAAAAAGATAACAATCAAAAGAATGAGTGTGATTATTGTTTAAGGACAATATATCAAAATTAGTTTGAATACATGTATATGAAAATAGATTTGTTGAGTTATAATTTTCCTCCAAATTCTCTTTCTTAAGGTGCTTGATATATGATTTAGCAAGTATTTTATCAGGGGTTCGAAGGTTACCCGAAAAAGTTTATCAGCGGAGTTGCTACTTAACATGACTTTAGCTGCGGAATAATGTCATCATTGCGGTGAGTTTTTAGTGTAGTAAATTGCCATTTAATCGAGAAATATACTTAACAGAACAAAGATACACAATGCATTTATAAGGCAATTTATGGAAACATAAATTTACACGTAGGCGACAAAAAAAGAATGAATAGATAAAAAAGAAATCGGCAAAGCCATGTTAATAACACTATGAGTGATATACTTTGAGTAGTATGGGTTTCATCTAACAAAAAAACCCCCAGACTTTCATTTATACACGGGTGTGGAACCCCAAAAGAAGTTTATGCGTTTAAGTGTAAGTCTAGGTTATCTTTTAGTGAGATGAAACCCATATTACTCATAGTGTTGTTAGCATAGCTTTACCGATTTTGTTTTCCAAATAACAACGCAAAATATTGACAAAATTAAATATACGCTTCATATCCTATCGATAAGCAACATTAATGTTTGAAACGATAGCTAAGTGGGCTTTGGATAAGAGAGGTAGTCTGTTTGATCTTTAAGTTAATATACATCATGTTTAACTCTTTTCTTTTTTTCTTTTTTTTTTAAACTTGTTCTGGCAAATGTCTGAACAATGAGATATAAGATAATTTTTTCCCTGAAAACTGCACAGCGCCGATTGGAAAAGCGCGCGTCATATCATTAAGACGTCAACTTTGACGTCACGTTTCTATGATTACGTCATTTGACCACTATGTTGGAAATATCATGTCAATGCTCAAATAAAAACACTAGAAAGGATTAATCTAAAACCAGTGTTCTGTATATGCACATGTTCTT